ACGGTTGAACTTTATTATGGCCGTCGTAACTACATCCAACCCTCCACAAATTCGGGGGACATGCTCTTATGGATGCTCTCTACATACTGGTGAATTTGTGTGAGCAGTAGACTGTCAAAACCGACTGGAGCCGCTCCGTTTTAGTCCCAGTTTACAAGGGACACCCTGGTTCAGATTGTGGCAATCATCGTGGAATCAGTTTGATCTCAATTGCCTCTATCGTCCTCTATAGACTTGCTGACATCCGTGAAAGCCAGATGCGCTAGAAGCAAGCCGGGTTTCGTCGAAATGGAAGCCGCTTTGACTATATCTTCACTTTACTTCCGTTGTTGGAATGTACCTACCGTAAGGGTATTACTCGGCATCAAAGGTGCCTTCGATTTGGTGAATCGGTGTGTTCTTTCGGATTGTCTGCTAATGGAAGGTGTAAAAATTATCCGAGTACTTTATGAGCGCAGCTCGGACAGTGTGAGGGTTTATGGCAACATGTCACCGCCCTTCATTATCTAGAGGTGTAAGACAAGGATGCTCGCTGTAACCTCTCTTCTTTAACCTCACTATTGACTAAGTCATGGAAACGACATTTGCTGGACACGACCTTTAGACCGTGGAGCTGCTTCCGGGTGATCGACTTCTTGACTTGGAGTATACTAATGACGTTGCCGTAATCAGTGATAGCACTTGAACGTGTCAAGCTGCACTGGACAATTTAATGCTAGCTCCTAATGGTTTGCGCCCTCTAAATAAAAATTACTTCTCTAAAATTGGTAGGGACCCGCCCTTCCGCTGACACTTGGTGGTGATCAGCTAGAAGTCGTCCAGAAATTTCAGTATCTGTGCAACTGTGTTTGTGCCCGTGGGATCAACTATGAGATCGTGAATGGTATTGCAGAAGCTCGATGCGCTTTTGCCAATCTCCGGTGCCTGTGGCCTTGGCGTGACATCACTATCGACCTGAAGTCCAGAGTTTACAATGCAGTCGTCCGTTCATCACTGCTGTACAGTTGCGAAACGTGGCCCTTTCGGTCGACAGACATAAGGTTTAATTACGTGGCTGCTTTTGCAGATTAGCTCTCATGTCTGGTGGGAACACCGCGTGAGCAGTAAGCGTGTTCGGCTTATTGTATTTGGTGGAGGAAGAGCGAATGCACCACTCAGTACCGTTTGTATCATGCACCAGGCTCTGATGACTGGGCATGCCAGTACACCGACTCCTGCGTCATGCGTTGTTTACACGATCGGGGTCTGGATAGAAGAGTAGGCCGAGCGATGTCTTGATCGGAAGGAGTGAAAACCCGCACTTCGAACTTGGTGTCAGTTGGTGATTTCCGACTGCCGAGCTGAGGTCCGATAAACCATGAAAACATTTTAGTTAGAAACACATGTTGACATAGCGAAGAGCCGAGCTCATTGGCGTCAATTTTGTGAGTTTCTTTATCCTTTCTCCTCTTTACCTCCCCCCAACTACAATATCATACTCTATGTTTGAGATGGTATTCAGAATTGTGTTTTTAACAGCATCGGTTTTGTATTCTCTTTTGTTTACTATCTTTTATGTATTGTAGAACATTAGCTGACGTGTGTTTCTCACCCTCGGCTATCGTGTCTCGATACTGATGCGTGGACTGACCAGTTCGCAATGAAGACATTAACTACTTGGTCGTTTTTGATGTCGGATGCATCCGGAGTATTGCATAGGTCTACTAGTTGGTTTTTGGCAAGAGGCTTTCTGGTTTCTCACGCGGGTATTTGCTGCAGTTTACCGTCTACATTGACTAGGTCATGTCGCCCGTATGCCCTTTGACCTGTTTCCTCGGCATGGATTATACACCGTGGATGCACCAACTTGGTTGAAACAGCAAGGTGGCCACTTGATGACGTGGCACAAAGAGATGAAAACATTGCTTTAAACTCTTTGTCAGACTTGTACGAGTCGTTTTCGCGGAGTAGGGATGGTCGACATCAATGGTCAGAGACTATCAAATAAGGCACAGTCCCGTCTTCAGTGGTGTTCCTGTACTCGGTTCCTTACTCCTGATTTGTTTACAGCACTGTTTATTCCATTTTCATAGTATTCTGTTTGTGCTCCGACTTATTTTCTTTCTGTTGTTTGATATTGTTATTCTGGCAGCGTGAGTTGTGGCTACCGGACCCACCACTCTTCAGTGCCTGGATTATAGTTCTTCAACTGAACTGAACTGATCTAATGGGAAAACTTGACGGGGCTACTGGAATCTGCAACATTCAAGAATGTGAACTTTTACTTTGTCGGCCTATGGCATCTGAAACAGATCTGGTAGTAATACGCCACTTCTGAATCACGTAACTCGCTAGCATCGTTGTATTGCGGCACCGTAGCTGAGGTGTTTTCCACCTCTAGCTAACGTGTTTACTGACGCTGATGATGATGAGCATCGTTGTAATTGAGGCGCCTGACAACTGCGATCTGCTTCAGCGTGACCTTGACCGCCTCTCCGTTTGGTCAGCAAAAGTCAGCTTTCTGATTAGTCCGGTCAAGTCGGTATTCATGAGCCTGGGTAAGGGTGGTAATGGCCGAGTCTGCAATCTGGCAGACCAACAGTTACACACATCGCCATCCGTGAAAGATCTCGGGGTATTCGCACGCTGCGATTTGAAATCCGTTGAAAACACGAATAGGCTTTATCAAAACGGACTGCGCGTGATCTGGCCGCTTAAACGCAGCTTCTGTACTTAGTCCGAAGAGGTTGCCACTCGCCTCTTCTCTCTTCCCTTATCAGACTAATGCTAGTGTATAGTTCACCCGCTTACTGTCCGCTCACTCGGGGCGAGGTGCAATGGATTGAGCGCGTACAGCATGTTGCCACAAGACTCATCTCCGGTTTATGTGGTGTGCCAGATGAAGATCGATGTAAGAAAGAGGCTCGTCATATTCGATCATCGCTACCTTCGCAGCTTAGCTCATGTCTGGTGGGAACACCGCGTGAGCAATGAGCGTGTTCGACGTCGCGTATTTGGTGCAGAAAGAGCGAGTGAACCGCTCAGCACCATCATATCACGCACCAGGCTCCGATGGCTGGGCCACGTGTTGCGCATGGCAGCACACCGACTTCCGCGACGTGCATTGTTTGCGCGTTGTGTGTGCGGTTGGAAGAGGAGGAGGGGAGGCCAAGTGATGACTTGGTCGAGAGAAATGAAAACCCTCACTTCGAAGTTGGCGTCGGTTGGTGCATCCCGATTGCCTGGCTGGGGTCCTAAGGATGGTGAACACGTTTGGTTGAAAACACTTGCTGATATGGCTTGGAGCCGGTCCCAATGGCATTTGTGTTTTGAGTTCCTTTGTCCATCCCCCTCCTGCTTAGCATCCCCCTCCAATCACGATCTCACTCGTTAGGCATAATACGACTTTTTTTACAGCACGATAACCAGCTGTTAGCTCTCCGGAACGATGTCCATCCGTTACTGGCTACCTAGCCGGCGTGCCGCTGCTTGTTTTTCTTTTCTTGTCTTTTGTATTGCGGCACAATAGCTGAGGTGTTTTCCACCTTCAGCTAACGTGTATAATGAGACCGATGCAAGAGGCTAGCGTTGCACACCCTGTCTTATTGTCGAATGCGGGTTGACATTGTCATGGCGCACCAGATATTACATCTGGGCCAATTCCCCATGTTGTGGCCTCTGCTGCATCTGCGCACACCAAGCAGCACACTAGGACACTGGTACAAGCTTGTCGTACCGAATTTGAAGCGGGTCGCTCACCAACTCTGCTTCGAACGGAGGGTAGTGAATATGTGGAACAACCTGCCTGCAGAGATAGTCGGAGCAAACTCGGTGTCGGCGTTTAAGAAACTCCTGGACACACTCTTTGCCGACTTGACATATCAGGAATAATAACCATCACAATTGGTAAATTTTCTTGAAAAATATTAGGTGCTGCTTCCAGAGGCACCTCTACTCGCTGCACTTTCTCAGTATCAGTATATAGACGTAGCTAATAACTGGTGCTTCTACTGTTGTCAGATGCAATTTTCTTGTCTTGTTTTGGTTTCCACTGACCTTACGGATAACCGATTGCTACTGCCCAAGCCGGACTGACCGAGTTCCCAGACCAGAAGACAAAGGCTCTGGTAAAAACACTCGACAAGCAGTATATATAAGCAAATGAAGGGGTCATGTAGATACTTCGTAGGTGATTGACCTTGCTGAAAGTGCCTGGATTTTAGCAACTACTAGATTTTTGATAATGCCTTCAAGGTAGATTATCCTCAAAGTGAAACGTTCTTTCTGGCTGGCCGATAGGCTTCAGGACACGTCAGCGTCAAATTGCTACGAGCAAGCCCTCTTAACGTGTTCCGATACGGTTCTTGGGTTAGTCATCTTGACAGTGTTTTATGAAAACATATTTTTAAATATGCACACAATGTCGGTATTGGTTCGTTCCATTTTCGGTTGGTGTTGTCCAACGGAGGTGTATGTCACTGGATTAACCTGTTTTGATGACAATACCGATAGCTAGCCCAGATGCAGCTATGCTCCCCAAACAAAAAGGCAAAGTTTCTGCAACTAAACCCCAGTAACGACCTGAGAGATGTAACGTTTGCTGTAGTATTGGTTCTGATTATGTTGCTGACCGACCGACTTTCTTGTATGTTTCTTTTGTGCTAGGAATTGCTTGAACTTGCGGGTCGCTTTTATCGGTCAAATCTGACTGGCCGTCACGCCCTCCCTCTGACTGACCTCCAGCTAACCGACTCCATGCGCCTCTAACTGAAGTTTGCAATAAATGTACCGCTACAGAATGAGCGTGTATGACGAGTGTTTCACCCTTAAGTATATGTCTTTGATATGGTATTTGATGCAATGTCGCGCTTTACTGGTTTCTTGTTTTCGTAACTCGTGCTTCGCTTGCTGAGCTGCGTTTTATTTAGAGCCTATCTGGTTAACGTAGTTTGCATTCCGTGTCTCTATGCTTTTTTCCAAACGTTTCTATGCACTCAACGTTTGCACTGTTCTTGACTCAGGGCCCTCCTGGCACCGGTAAAACGTTACTTGCGAAGGCAACAGCGGGCGAGGCTAACGTGCCATTCCTCTCTGTGTCCGGCAGCGAGTTTCTCGAAATGTTTGTCGGCGTCGGACCAAAGCGTGTGCGAGACATGTTCTCGACTGCGCGCAGCAAGGCCCCTTGTATTCTCTTTATCGACGAAATCGACGCTATCGGGGGCAAACGATCTGGTGGTGCCTTTGGACACCAGGAACGCGAGAACACGTTGAATCAGTTGTTGGTGGAAATGGATGGTGGGTATTTCAGCGCATCTGTTCTCTCAGTTTATCACAGATCCGTCCTTTTTTCTTTTTCTCCGTTGTTTCCGACGGTTCGTTAACACAGCTTTGTCATGCTTTCATTTGTCCTACGTGATGTATCATTGATTTGCTTGATTAATTGCTTAAAATGTTTTTAAATCTTACTTTCCTTGTCACCATTCCATCAGACACGCCCTTCAGACCAAGTTTGCTGGGTTTAGACCGACATTCTCGATCAACCAGATGCGAAATCCGGAGACAATCCATTCTTATTCCACTCTCAGTATCAACCTATGTGGATCGTGCATTGTGCCAACAGGGCAATTCTGTTTGCAGTAATGTGTCTATTGCCATCAGTGTCGCGGTTCAATTCGGATGATTGTTGGTTGTAATTAGTCTTTCAAAGTTTGATTCTCATGCGACCGTTGATTGGTCTGGTTAATTGTTTACGTTGCGGTACGGAAAGGAGAACTTTTATTGGACACTGAGAAATTGCTGCATACATGGAGATGTTCGCAACTTATCTCCGTTTCACTGGTTTCACTATTTGTTTGATGATCGTTTATCCTCACCCAGTTCCCTGTCCTGTTTGTGACCCACTGACTTTTTGTAACCATTACACTGGAACTTTATGTGTCTACTCCGAACAATTACAGGCCTGAATCAGTCTGAACAGTCAACTGTTGCTCGTCACATCTGCAGATGTGGCCTATGCATGTCCTGTTCGCATGCATCTTTGGTGAACAGTGAATCGTGCTATTTTAACGTGGTTATGCTGCAATTAGAACCCCATACTTTACCTAGTCACGTTCTTCTTGTGTCAGTTGACCAGCTACTGCAATGCTACAACTGCTTGGACAAAACCTCCTCGTACTCAATCGGACCTTTATCCCTGGTCGGATTCCTGTCAGATCAGATGAGATCAGATCAATACACGTTAGCCAAGGGAGAGAAACACACTTCAGCTAATGTGCCGCAATACAAAAACGACTACAGATGACAAAGGCTAAAATAGTAACAATGCTAAAATCACATTATCCATGAAGTTAATGTCGATATTGGAGAGGGAAGCTGAAGAGTGTGGACCTTAACCTGGTACGATGGTTTGTGTGCCTCACTGATTCATTGTGCTACGCTGGGTGGTGCTTTTTAAACCTTCAGAGCCACTCATACCAGATTGGTCAATGGTTAGAAGCCATGTTGGGGGTTGGAGTGAGGGTGGCTCCTTGCTCCATAAAACGGACTCTCTGTAGTTGCCAAGGGCCAAATACCCCGCTGTCTTGCGGCCAGGTTTTTGAACCAAAGGCTTCTATTGAGAACTCCCATCATTCTCCTGTCTAGGCCTGGGTGATCTGACAGTATCCTGCCCGCGCAATACAATGAACTTTTCACCAAACAACTTTTTGTTGCTCTGGCCACCGCAGAGAATAATCAACAATGCCCCATCTGCTGCATTTAGCACGGTGGATAGCGGTTTGGATGCCACTACTCAGGTCTTCCCGTCTTTCGCTTTTTCATCCTTAGCGTCCCGCTCCAACTTCACTTTTCTCTCTTCTGTTTTCAGTCCCTCAGTTCTTGGCTCTCCCCTCACCTTCGGTAATCGTTTGTCTTATAGTTTCGACTCACACGTAATCGCATGGCTTCGCTCCGGTTCAGTTGACAAGTGCGTGTTCAACCTAGCGGACAACGTCAGTTCATCTGTTTCACTTTGGAGTCCTCGCGTCTCGCTAAGACTGCCATGTCTCAATGTGCGCACTTTCTTACATATTGGCCCGCGGGGCTGCATCGATCACATCTTCACTTTGCGTCAATTGTGGAAATATCGACATGTTTATTGGCGACCCATCGACATCAAAAGTTCCTTCGATTCGGCGGATTGATGTGCCCTGCTAAGAACAGGTGTGCTCGATAAATAGGTAAACATTATCAGAACGCTGTACGCACATAGTTCAGGCAGAATGAGGGTTTGTGGCAAACTCTCGTTGCCCTTCAATGTCTCCAGCGGTGTGAGACAAGGTTGCCCGCTATCACTTTTCCTCTTTGACTTTGCTGTTGACGAAGTCATGAAAACAGCGTTCGCAGAACACGACCTAGAAGGTGTGGAGCTATTTCCTGGTGAGCCACTTATTGACTTGGAGTATGCGGACGACATTGCCCTAATCTGTGACAGCTCGTAAACGTGTCAAGCAGCACTGGACCGATTAGCACTGGCTGTCAATCGTTTTGGGCTATGCTTCGTTTCATCGAACTGCAATGTACTTCTCCAAGATTGGCAGGGACCCAACCCTGCGCTAACGCTTTGTGGTGATAAGCTAAAAGTCGTTCAGGAATTCAAATACGTGGGCAGTTATATTAGCGCTCGTGGGATCGAAGATGAGATTACCAACCGTATAGCAAAAGCTCGAGGTGCTTTTGCCAATTTCCGGCATCTGTGGCGCAGACGCGACATCACTCTCGCCCTGAAGGGCATAGTTTATAATTTAACCGTCCGTTCAAACCTCTTATACGGTTGTGAAACCTGGCCCATCAGGTCGACAGACATGAAGAGGCTGGTCGTGTTCAATTATTGCTGCCTTCGCAGCTTAGCTCATGTCTGTTGGGAGCATCGCGTGGGCAGTGAGCGTGTTCGACGTCGCGTATTTGGTGCAGGAAGAGCGAGTGAACCGCTCAGCACCAAGCTCCGATGGTTGGTCCACGTATTGCGCATGTCGGCACACCGATTCCCGCGAAGTGCGTTGTTTGCGCGTTGTGGGTGTGGTTGGAAGAGGAGTGGGGGAGGCCAAGCGATGACTTGGTCGAGAGTGATTAAAACCCTCACTTCGAAGTTGGCGTCGGTTGGTGCATCCCGACTGCCTGGCTGGGATTCTAAGGACGATGAACACCTTTGGTTTGACACACTTGCTGATATGGCTAGGGGCCGGAGTTTCTTTGTCCATCCCCCCCCTCTTTAGGTTCCCCTCCAAATCCGATCTCAAATGATTTACATGATACAATATTTAACATTCTAATTTATTTTATTTTGGTGCATTAGCTGAGGTGTGTTTTTCCCACCCTCAACTAACGTGTATTGATGATGATGATGAAGCTGAAGAAGAGGGGAGGGACTACGAGACTCCGATTAGTGGGCGGATGAATTGCCAGAAATCGAGCGCACCAGCCTAATTGACTCCGATACACTCATGAGTCCAGCGATTCTTCCACATTAACCACACGCGTTGAACTTCCGCATTCACTGGACGGTTGCGGTGCTTTTGCTTACCGTCCCCTTCGCATGACTCTCATTTTTCTCTCATTTCTACACATTCATGGTTAGTATTATTATTGGCAATATTTTCACTGTGTTGGCGCACATCAACTGCAATAATCACAGCCAGATAAACGAAGTGATCACCCGCTTGACTTCTTATCCTCATTATCATCACCAAAACACGTTAGCTATGGGTGTGAGACTCACTGCTAATGATCCGCATTGTCTCCTTCTGTGTTTATGCTTCGTACTGCGATAATCAAATACGTGCACTAGTCGGCTCCAAAGGCGCATCGTTTTCATCATGTGCACTTTCGGAATTGTTTGTTAGAAGCATGGTCACGTATTATTTTACTAACTTTTGTCGAGATGCAATCGTCCAAAACCCAGTCACAGGAAGCGTAAGTTTTTTGTAGAGACAGATGCAACTAATTTTGAGGCAGGTAAACTGCTTATAAGATCCTCCAAACAGCGTTAAGTGTCATCCGTATTCAAGTGCAGCTTGTTGTCTTCGTGATATTTTCATGTAATTGATTGGCACCCTATCTACCTACGCCGTGACGATCACGTTCATTCAAACCGGCAGCTATCTTCACAAATGGTATGCACTCTTCGTTTTCTGCTTGTTACCCTTTATTCTTTTGGAGGACCATAATGGCTGTAGTCGAGCTTTGCAAATTTCCATCTACCCATTATACAGCAAACTCTAGAAACATTGACAGTAGCTGGTATAAAAAATATGAGCAGATATTCGCTTACAACTAGCTTACAACATGTCATTACCTACAATACAAAATCCTGTGTCTGTGCAGCCTAGTAGTCCCTCCCTTTTTATTATTTACTCCTGATGATACAAACACCCGTAACTTTTACCTATGAGGTGCACGGGTCTAGGACCCAAGGAACAAAAATCATGATCCGAAATTCTATTAATAAAGTTCCTTACTATTATGAAATGTATTCACTATACAAATGATCGCTCCCACTTATGGGACCGTGTACCGTCTGTCGGTAAATATACAAATTTATTTATTTATTTAATCATTTTCGCTTTCATGCGACATTTTATCGCAGCCCATGATACCTGATTATTCCTCTGGCCATTACACTTCCATGCGGTCTGTCGGGGCGTTTCCGAAACTCAATTACCGTGGATTTTCTTTCCATCTGAAATTCACCAGCACCTGTGCCTTTCTGTTCACAATCGCAATCCATTTTGCTGATTAGTTGTAATTGTTTGCCAAAACCATCTGATGGCTTGTTAATGTTGTCAGAGGCGCATCACTGGACGCACCGAAATTGCCCTTGCGCATTGGCCTCCAGTGGCATGATGGAACATCTTACTTTGTCCATGTGAATCGTCCCGCAAAAAAGTTAGATACAAAAATTAGGGCATCGCACATCTCACTAGACTACACCGTGTAGGGATACCAACTGAACACATTGCTCGGCGCCGATCAACTACTGTCGAACGCTACTCATTACTTCCTTGAAATCGAATAGTGGAGCATCGACATTCAAAATCACTTACCTCTACACACGTGTTCCAAAGTCTTTTTGTCATAGTTAAATACTTTGTTTTATGTGGGTTAACCAACCAAACTGGCACTACAATATTCTCCTTATGGTTTAGCTTGTTGCACTGTGCTCCGAACATAGCGATGCTGTCATTTTACGCCAATACAAACGATGTCCTTGATCTTGATTCAGTCTTGCCAATCCCAGCGTTCTGATTGTGTCTGCATCAAACGTTGCTGGATACTCAGCTGAACCGACTAGACAGACGACAATTCTTAATGACTTCATTGTCATGGGCGGCCACTCAGTTGATTTCCAATTGGGCAGCTAGTTCCTCTCTCCCATTCAGCCCAACTATTCCAGTTAATGAGATCGATCACAGAGAAATTGCGTTTTTCTCTCAACTGTTCCACTTTTAGCGCACAGATGTGGCCTAGCGAACTTCTACTTGGCCGCCCTCGAGACCCATCATGCGTACTCAATAGATTTAAACCAATAGGTTGCTCGATTCTACTCACAACCACTTGACCGGGATGTGTTTTTGTAACTTATCTTGGCTTCATCCCGAGTACCAGTCCGTGCGTCAGTTAGGTAGCAATTTTCCCACTTTTGTTCATGCATTTGTGTCTTCTCCTTTCGGCTTACATGTCCGTCATCACTTTGAACGACATGGGTTCATCCAGACGATGATTTGCAGGGCTCTTGGCCTTTGCATCAACTCGTGTAGGCACTTCTCGAACACAAATACCTCCAATTGAATTTGACCCATACCTTGTTCATATTACTTTTCTGGTTCGTTACACAATTCTAGTGCTTTGTAAATCTCTCACTATCCTCGTGTTACGACTGCACTTGTCTCCTTCTCAGCAGCTGACGCCCTAATCACTAGGTCACCAGTTTCCTTCCAGTCTGTGGCCATCTCTATCTGACGACGGTAAACGATGACGAAACCGATTGGAAAATGTTATGTCGGGAGTGAAACACACCGAATATCATCCACTTCTGATACGGTCCGCGGTCTCCTCCGTAGTAAACCTAGGTCCCAATAGAGATTGCTTGTCGCATCCCTCCTCAACCACACGTTGGTTACTCCATAGCCCAGCGTTGAGATCGCCAGTTGTTTTTTCCTATCACAGTGCACTTTATTGTGGGAATCATGATGATGAATTTCAGTTGCCAAAGTGACAACTACGTCTCGAGCCTACTCGCGACGCCGTTGGTCATATATGTGGCCCTGTAATCTTCTCTCTGATGCAGTTAATCTGAATTCTTTTTTTGCGCTCCTATTCAAGTTGTGTTCTCTGCTTCCAAAACATTCCACAGGATTTACCACCCAAGAAAACGTGGTTGTACTCGCAGCGACCAACCGAATTGATATTTTGGACCCGGCGCTCCTTCGCCCAGGCCGATTCGATCGCCAGATTTACGTCTCTCTACCAGATATCAAAGGAAGAGCCTCAATCTTTAAAGTAGGTCGTTCTCAGTGCACTTTCTTTATTGCCATGCAACTCTCATTTCAATGAAACGTAAAGTTTTTGACTGGCTAATCGAACCTTGTTGTCGTTGACTGCCTGTTAGTCTGTAGCCGAATATCCACTTGGAACATGCCCTGAGGTTCTTATATTTTTACTGATGACATTTCTTTGCCACTCTTTTTTTCAGGTCCACTTGAAGCGCATTAAGCTAGCTGATGACGCTCAACTGGTTGCCCGCCAGATGGCCTCTCGGACGCCGGGTTTCTCAGGCGCTGACATCGCAAATGTTTGCAATGAGGCTGCACTAATCGCCGCTCGTGAAGATGCCAGTAACGTTAATTTGGGTCACTTTGACAAAGCGATCGATCGTGTCGTCGCTGGTTTGGAGAAGAAAAGTCAGGTAGAAATGTGTGCTTTTTCTTTTCCGCGTTCTTTTACCCACCGCGATTACTCGCGATCACAGTTTGCTGCTTGCATTAACCGCGGAATGTACAACTAATCTGTTTCGGGGATCCTCTCTGTTGTGACTGCTGGAGGTATATCGTGCATCCATGTGGGCTTAATTGTTTCGTGTCCACAGTAGGTGGTTACGTCGTTTTTCCGATTACGAGAAGCCGCAGGACGTATACACTTACAGAGAGCCCGTCGTGACCAGCCTAAAGCTTGACGTATTGCGATGGTTTCCGTATCTTCCTGATCCCTTGAGTTATTGGGTGTTGCCCTCGCGTCTACTCAGAGCTGCTCTTACCAAACTGATCAACAGCTATGGGGTCAAACGATCTCTGTTCCCTGGTCCTCCGGATAGTTGACACTTCCCTACTGTTTACGATTATGCTTCATAGCAAGAAGCTTTGATTGAGGACTCTAATCATTCTCCTGTCAAGGTGTAGGTGCCCTGCTAGTATCTCAGCATAGGCAAATCCTTGAGTATGACTAATTTATCAAACTTCAACCATCTCCTACATCGGCCGTCACGCAGCTCTAACAGGGCCACCTTATCCGCTGCATGTAGCAGGGCAGATAAGCGAAAAACGACGTTTCCCATTGTTACCCGTTCAAATGTCGTTGTTGCAGGGGTTATGAATGCGCAAGTATGTCATTTTGAGATCTTCAGAAGCTCAGCTGAGTGGTAAGTATGGACTTGACTCCGACCAGGCGGACAACGGCTGGCGTCTGTTTCAACTGTGCGCGGAGCCCTGGCTGCCTTTTAATGGTACCGATTTTAAACATATTCGGCGCCGAAGTGTCACTTGGCGTCCCCCTATAGTTGGTCAGCAATAGACACAAATAGGTCATGTTGCCATAAGTTATTGCTGACGTGGCTCATTCCGGAGTACATGCGTCTTGCCTTCGTACGCTGTATTTTTTCCATGAACTTCTCCGGTGGACTTATCAAGTGTCTCTCTCGTTTATCAACCGAGAAGTTATTCCACTCCTCGATCAGATAGGCCTACCAGAATGTACTGCGCATCCAACTTTCGCCCTCTACTTCTAGTGACACTGAACTTCAGTGGAATGGGATCTCGGCCGACATGCACGATTCCGGAGTTTCTGCTTACGGCATCATCAATCCTCACCATACTAGTCACTGGATGTAATGGAGGTCGATGAACCTGTTAGAATCCAGAAGAATCCTCCCTGTGGGCTCTGAGCACAGTGTAAGCAGACAGCTTATTAGGCGCTGACTGAAGCGAAGCCTCTGTGCTGTCAAGGAAGCCTGGTGGACCAGTCGGACTCAAGAAATGCAGGAAGCAGAAACAGTAGGCAATTATCGCAAACTCTTCCAACTGATCTGCACCATTATTCCCAGGAAACTAGGTATCAGCGCGACAATTTGAGATAACACAGGTGCCCTATCTTGTTAGGCAGAGGACTTTCGAGAGCAGTTCAGTTGCATCTTTGCCTGCTCATGTGGTGTTGGCTGAACCATGGCCGGTTAGTTTGGAGGATTTATCGGGAGTTTGGGTGCGAAACTCAATCACAGTCTACAGTCGTTTCCGAGCTTCTTTCACTTGCACTATTTCATGATGGTAGTGAAGTCTCCTGGAAATCACTGACCCACGTACTCGAACAATTCTGAAGGGAGAGACCATCCCAGTTGACTGGAACGAATCGATCACGGTCGCAATATACAGTCGCGCTGGATGTGGTAACCACAGAGATATTATCCCAACGCCGGTTCTTCCAAAATTACGAACCTCAATTCTCATTTGTCGCGTTACTGCGAACTGGAATCCTGGATTAGTTAAGAGCAGTCAGGTTTCTGCCCATGACGTGACTGTAAAGATCACATATCCACTCAGCGACAGATGCTAGAGCAGTGCCAGTCGTACCGCAGGCCGACAATAGCTGTAGTCGTCAACTTGAAGCGTGCATTCGATTCAGTTGATCTGTGTATTTTGTTCGAAATACTTGCGCGCAAAGGTGTTCCCATGAAATGTGTAAACATCTTACATGCTCCTCTATTCTTGAACACGACAGGACGCGTCAGGGTGACCTATCGGATGTCTTTCCGACACCAATGCCGTTCGTCAGGATTGTCCAATTTTCCCATTTTCGTTCAACTTCCTCGTGCACTCCATCATAGGGAGTTCTCTTGCAGTGCCTCACGATGCAGGCGTACAGGTGTTGCCTGGTTAAAAGCTAGCAGATCTTGATTATGTGAACGATGTTGTCTTACTGTTTGACGAGGTAGGGACGGTACATTCAACCCAGAATAACCTATCTAGAGTGGTCTCATCATTTGGCATACGCCCGCATCTTCAAAATGCAGTTGCACAACCACTAGGCACTTGATGTCCCTTTGACCGTTGATAGCAAAGTGGATGATCGATCGACTTACTTTGGCAACTAGTTTCCTACGAAAACAGATAGCACTGAATAAGCTGCTTTTGCTTGGGCATGTACTACGTATGTCCGGTCACCGTTTGTCGAGGAGTGCGTTGTTTTGTCTGCCAGATGTAGGGTGGCGGAAGGCTCGCGATGGGCAAAAGTTGACTTGGCAACATGAAGTAAAGTTCTTAACTGCAGTTAAAAGACAGATAAACGTGATAGGTATACGAACGCTGGGGATGCGATTGGTTAACTCAACGAAGTCGATCAATAGTCCACTCGATACACTCAGACGTCACGAGTCGCGCGAAGACACACACACGCAGAAAGCACAGACGTGTTGATCGGTACGCCTACAATGGTCACTCTAAGTCGTAACCGCGGTCCGGCCACGGCAACATGATAGATTGTATCAGTGTTCGCTGCTTACACAAACCCGGCTGAAGTATTCTAATTGCAATGACTTCAGCGGTGGCCAACAAGCGCTTTCTGATTAATTCGGGGTTGCGCCTCGGTACCATGTAGACTACCTTGAATGCGTCATTAGTCCGAATCTGATGACCGGTACTAAGCAGATGGTCGAGCTGCGGACATTCTTAACCATACCATGTTACGAAGAGGCAGGACAGTGCTCCGCTATCCACCCAGATAAACGCCTATTCGTGTGCTCGAGGTACCTTGCATCACAGGTGCAGGTGAACTGATATAGAACAAGGGATTCAGAACGAGCCTGGCTTCCATCTTTGAGTGATGAGCGGAACAGTTTCAGCGAAGCTATGAACTTTAGTGGTCGGACATGTTTTGTTCACCACCAGTGATGGTCTCCTATTCAGTAGGTGGAAAGCGATAGCTCCTTTGAAAGCAACTGATAGGTAAACATTTTTCTTGTAGTCGGTATCGCTTTAATTTGATCAGAAACAGCGGAATGCCTTTTTAATAAAACGCAGCGGAATATCCGTTGCTCTGCAGCGTCTTGTGAATAAACTCCCTTCTAGCTTCTAGCGTTTCCGGACTGCAAGTTCTTGCGGCCTGGTAGCACGGACGACGCACAAGGTCTCGCTTATAATAAATGGGTACAAAACTGAGAAAGTGCGTGTACTGACCCACCTCGGTTGTTTTACGGAAGATTATTCTCTCGAGTGAACCATCGGTTCGATGTCGCGACAGAACATCCAAAACCGGAAGTTCACCGCCATTCTCCAGCTCGGAAATGAATTTTGCTGATGGATGCGCGTGGTTAAACTGGTCTACCAAGTAAACAGAATCGACGGGAGAGTAACACACGATGAACGTGTCATTCATATTCCGCCGACAGAGATGAAGAGAATTTTGCGACGAAGAAATCGGCAAACGACTTGGCGAGATCAGTTACTTCCGATTTTCTATTTTTCGCTGATGATATCAAGATATGGCGAAGGATCAGAGGACCGGACGACCATGAACGGCTCCAGTGCGATCTTAACACAGTGACGAACTGGTCAGTTTAAAACGCCCTACCGTTCAACGTAGACAAATGTCGCGTTGTACAATTACGCCATAGACATAAATACACCTAATCACTTGGGACAAACGGATTGCAGAATAGCTCCCAGGAACGTGATCTTGGTGTGATCGTACAGAGCAACCTCAACTGTTCAAAACAGGCTGAGGTAGCGGCGAAAAGAGGCAACCAGCACGTCGGAATGCTGCGAAGAGCATTCGGGAGATTTGACCCATCAATCTTCCCAATGATGCACAATTCCTACGTGCGCCCGCATGTTGAATACGCTATCCAACCTTGGCAACCTAGAAGCGATAGAGGCACCACAACGAAGAGCAACAAAGAATGTAAAGGGCTTGCGCTATCACTCTTACT